CCTTTCTTTGGTCTCACAACAGTGTGGAACCTCCCTTGACCTGTGAGCCAGCCTTCGGAAGAAGGAGCAGATGGAAATCATTGCCCTGGCGATGCTCTGGGCTCCAGAACAGCGCTGTCTAAGCATCTCCCATGACCCCTGGCAACCTTGCTGTCTGCTTCACACTAAAGCCAATTAAATTATTCACAGTACCTGCAGCCTTCTCGCTGTTATCAAGACTCATTGAGTTCTCTCCCAAGAGGGAAGTGATGTCTTCTCCAAATATCCTGAGGCAATTTTCAATGAGAAATTGTACAAGAGAAATCTGTAACACAAAAAGATAAAAATGGGGTGCTCTTTTTCATAGGGCATAGTTATAAAACACATTTTGTGTATCGACCTTGGACCTAAGAAAAAATGTGAAAGACTTCCCAGAAAAATTCAGAGTTGATAAAAATACACAGAAACCAGGGGCGCCTGGGTGGCTCAGTCGGTTAAGCATCTGCCTTCAGCTCAGGTCATGATCCCAGGGTCCTGGGATCCAGCCCTACATCGGGCTCCCTGCTCCGCGGGAAGCCTGCTGCTCCCTCTCCTAAACCCTCTGCTTGTGTTCCCTCTCTCGCTGTGTCTCTCTCTGTCAAGTAAATAATTAAAATCTTAAAAAATGGAAACATAGAAACCAGAGTTCTCTAAGAAATAACTTAGAAAGAGTGATACATTCCCGTGTACTTTGGGTACAGATTTTAAAATAGTGCTCATCAGTGGGCTAAGGTTATAATGCGTGGCCTAGTTTAATAGCTAACATTTTGGAATCAGTGGCTACGTCTTTTAGACTAGGATAAATTGCAGGGTGCCTCAGTTGAGCGTCTGACTCTTGATTTTGGCTCAGCTCATGATCTCATGGTGGTGAGATCAAGCCCCACAGGGAGCCAAAATTGGGCTCCGTGCTCTGTGGGGAATCTGCTTGGGCTTCTCCCTCTCCCTCTCCCTCTCCTTCTGCCCCTGCCCCGCTCATGCTCTCTCTTTCCCTCTCTCAATAAATACACATCAAAAAGACAAATACATAAATACATACATACACACATATATATATACATAAAACTAGGATAATTTTCAAAGTAGCCTGCCTTATGAAAGTTGACTTATTTCTTGATTTTAAATTTTGTTTCCAGTTTTATTGAGTTGTAACTGATCTATAACATCTTATTAAAATTTATAAAGTAGGAGCAAAAACTTAAGAAAACCGTTTCTTAAATGAAGAAGTACCTTAAAGTTGGGAAGCAGAGATTTTTGTGGGGTTGTGTGGGAAAACCCACAGATCTGGAGAGAAAACGTATCTATCTGTCTGTCTAACTTCAGTCCCTTCCCATGCATTGCTTTGCCTCCTGCTGGCTCTCTGTGTGAGCTTGGGGAAGACCTGTCATTTTATGAGGATGTTTCGGAATCTTTTACTAGTTGCGGTATGACGTAGCAGAGGTGAAATAGCAGCCGAGTGTTTTTCGAAGTGAGCCACAATGTGCAGAGGAAGGCCAGTGTGTTTGGAGCCATGGGTGCTCATATTGCCCAAGCCACCTAGGAGGTGCCAGTGGTGACCGGAGGAGCTGGGTGTTGTCGCCATCGTGTAGTGAGGAAACCACGTCTTTGGCCAAGGTGACAAGTCCCTGAAGGACGAGGCTGAGAGGTGAACCTTGCCTTGTGGAGCTCCAAGGCCCAGGTCCTTTTCTATCGTGTCCCACGACTCTTCTCTGTCTTGTTTAGTCAGTCTAGTGTTTAGTGTCCTGGATGGGGAAGACGTGACTCCACTGCTCCGAGTCTCCTGTTTAACGACACCCCTTCCCAGACCCCACCACAGTAGGAATAAGAACTCTGCCACTCCACAGGGGCCTAATGAGAAGGTGCACTTCACAAAGTTCCATCCATCAGAGTTACTGCTGCACAATTCCGGTTCAAAGTAGGGATTCTACCCCCCGGGGGGACAAAAATGAGAGCTCTCATTACCTTTTTGATGAAGTTGCCTTCCAGTTCCAAGCTGCAGGAATTAGGTGGACAAAGAATGCTTGGGGCTAGACACACTGATAAATTATAAGCTGTCATCTGATTGGTTGAGGAATGTTGCTCAATGTTGTATAACACTCCAAAAAGGTATCGCACGAGAACGACATTTGCTCTTGGCAGCTGCGCTAAAAGCCTAAGGTCAGAAAAATACACTTTGAAATTAGGCAAGGCACTCCACTTAGGAGGTTGGAAGTACAGAGACAGGGACCAGGATACATCCTTGTATATCTAGTAGACAACCCGCTGTAGCAGAGTTCCAGGCATGAATGTATACAAAATTGTTTCACTGAATTCAGTTCCTGAGCCAGATAAAAACTTCTCCGGTTAGGTAAATGTTTGACAGACTATGAAGGGCATACCCCTGGCAGCCGATGCTCTAGCATCTCTCTTGGACCAATGGATTTCGTCTACCAGTTTCATGTATCCAGAAGGTGTAAAACGGCCAAGGATTCCACATTAGTAAGGTCAGGAGATGAACAATAATAGCCCTAAAGCGTGCCTCTATTCTGAAGCTGGCCCCCATGGGTGGGAAGAATTGAAACTCTTTGGCATTGGTCAGGAGTTTAGTGGGCAAAGCTGAAAAAGGTAAGCCAATATTTTCCTAATCGTATGTTGGCTGTGTTCTGGAGATGGGACCCGAGGAGAGTCATCGTTGCATCATTACCTCTGGGCTGCGGTTATCTTCTCCTCTTCGCTCCCTTGATCAATAACACCGAGCCATTGGTCATAGAGATCGGATGAAAATATACTTCCTGGGATATTTCTAAGAAAATCCTTATGGAGATAAAGAAATATGTATAGATATTATAGAAAATATGTACTGGAAATATTACAGAGAAAATATGTAGTTAAAAATTTCAGTTCAGCCCCCACTTCCTTCACAGATACCCAAACTGTGACCCACAGTCAAGAGCTCGGCTCTGCCGCTCCATTGACTTGCACACGCAGAAGCAGGTGCTTGGATTTTCTCCCACTAAAACTTAGAAGCATAAAAGCAGAGCTTAGGCTGTGGTGGAAATGAAGAGAAAGCTCCCTTCTGTCATCTGGAACTTATTTTTTTGCGTGTGCTTTTTTGTGCAAAGTACCACAAACTGACAGGGTCTGGCTATAGACTATCCTAAATCCTGTTAGTTTCTTGGACAGAAATACACATGCCCATTTTGCTTGTTTTAGACACAGTGCTAGCTCTTAATTCTAGCAAGAAAAGTTCTGAAGCAAACAAAACACAAACAGGTGTGCTCTTGCACACATATTAGGAAAGAACCAGGTCTTCTGATTTGGGGTATGTGTGCTCCCTGGAAGAAAGCTACTCTCATAATTGCTTCATTCTTCCTTTTCTTAACTGTCCAAAAGTCTAGAGACTAATGGCAGACTCATTGTGGTCCTGAGGATACATTCATTCCTAGTTTAGGCCAATTCTCCAGTTAGTTTGACACGATATTATCAAGGCCAAGGGTGCAGAGTCTGATTCTCCACCAAGATCAGTCAACTTTAGGAAGAGAAAACTTTAGAAATGTCTAAGCACTGTACCCACAAGTGCTCACCCTCTTCCTAGTCGGTGCTTACAACACGGAATTAGGAAAGAACCTACTGCCTCTTGCTAGAGAATCAATTCCCTGCGGGCACCTGACAGAGGGCAACACTCATCTTGCTACCTTGTGTATCATCATTCTTCTCCTGCCTCGCGATGCCTATATGTATATTACTAGTGGATATTGCTATGGCCCCAGCGTAGGAGTGGTTACCTAAGTCATTTCTGAACCATTGCTTTTATTGTATCGTCGAACATTAATGGGGGACAAGGAAAGACCAAATGTGACTGAGACTCTAAGATTGTAGTCATTACTACATTGACATAGAGTTGTTCAGAGCTGGTAATAAGTGCCACGGTGGGTGGACTAAATTCTTTCTCTGTTCTATTGCCTTTGGAAACTTTACCTTCATTAGGAGGGTGGTGAGGATGTTTGCTTTGGTAAACAATTGTGTATGTGTAAGCGCGTATTTTGAAATTTACTATCATTACTAGTAGTCATTTTCGTATGAGTATTTTGCATGGAGTCTCCAGGAGTGAAGGTGGGGAGGGCGGTGTGGGGTGAAAACAGAAAGTGTTTCTATCATATGGGGCTTTTAACTCCTAAAGTAGCTTCCTTAAATTTTGATTTTGTCAAGCGCTTTTCAGTTTGTCAGGTTCTTAATCTATTATGCCCATTATGGTCCTTGAGCAGTCATGATGAAGGACCCTAATCATAGCTTCAGTGACTCGTGTGTGGATAATGCTGGAACCTTCCCTACCTTTAAGACGGATGCGACCACAAGAACAGATTCGCTGTCCATGTTCACTTTGTCCCCAGAATTTAGTTTCTCCTTTAGGACTCTGCATGATTTTATATTGGCTGATTTTCTGAAGATGCCTTCCGTGAGTGGCCCCTTTTGATTAATAAAGGAAAGCATATCCTGTAGGAAGAAAAGGAAAGTATATGGCGTCTCATATCCACAAACCCACAGCACAAGCTTGCCTCCGTTTTGAACGAGCGGGGGAATGTGATGGTACACCGTTTTAGAGCGGGAAGGACGAAAGTCAATCTGGATTTTTTTTTTTTTTTCAGTGTCTCTCTCTACATTTTCTACCCAAAAATCCATTTTACAGTCATACACTGAAACATTTTAAACACTTATTTTAATCAGATTTTCCTTTCCATTGAATTGACACTTTTAAATCAAACTTTTCTGCTTCAAGGCCTTTGTGGAAATACCGTCTGTTTCCTACTTTCCCAATCTTTTCTCATTATTCCCTTACATAGATGCTCTTCCCCCAAGTATGGATGTCTATTTAGGAAATACTCATTTCCCATGTGTTTATTTCTCTTTAAGTGACTGTATACTCCATTCCTATTTCTTCTATTTCCTTCCCTCTTTTAAAATCAGGCTCAAAAACCCTCTTCTCCTTCTCTGATCACACTCCCTTCTCATGAGTCTTTCATTGTCTTTTGCTCTATCTTCATGTCCTCTCCCTGCTGTGTAGAAAGTCAATAAGGGCTGCAGTCAGGTAATGCAACGGAGCTGAAGTCTATTATGCTACTTATCTATTGTGAGAGCTGGGGCACAATCGTACTATACTGAGGCTTTTCTGATTCATTTGGGAAGTGCGGAGGTTCATAATCCTAGCTACCTCCTAAATTTGCTGTGATGCAAGGAACTGGGGTAGTAGCTAGCATGTCACGTGCTAGCGAATATGATACATTCCTTCATATCTAGCAGAACGTTCCCTACGTCCAGCACAGTGCTTGCAGAGATACCGAATACTCCGTGAATGTCAACACTGACAATTCAGTCCACCAGTTTGAGATAACACAGGCCAAACTCTGTGGCTTTCGTTTGACATATTCTGTTAGGATTAATGGATTCCTATTTGCCAGAGGATGCGTCCTGATGCTCGTGTCAGGTGTTTGCAGTTGTTAGACTGAGTAGACTCCGCTGAAGGAGACTTGAGACTAGTGTGAGTTCGGAAAGGCAGTGAAGGGAGAGTGGGAAGACGAGGAGGCCTCTCAGAGACTCACAGACCCAGAGTCCATTTTGACTGATCTGAACAGGCTTACGTGGGTCTTTGTGGAAACAAGGCACAAGTGGAATGGACCAGAATGCCCTTTCCGGTTGTGTGCACCTCATGACTCTGCAGTACCTAATCAGATTCCATTCTTTGAAATAACAGTAACAGAGCTTCTCAGCCAAAGCCAGGGGCTGTCTAATGACTTCTCCATTTGGGGATAGATTTGGATGAGGACACTTGGCCTCTCCGAGTTTCCCCTCCTCAGGAGCGCTGAAAAGACCAAAATGAGATGACCTACCAGAACCGGGGTGGGCAGGTTGTCTTTATCACACACATCCATGAGGGAAACTCCAAAGAGCTGTCCTGGCTTTGCAGAAGGTGGGACTCTGCACTGGTTCCCCTGGCAAGTTCTGGAGCCCTTCTGAAAGGCCCAGGTTCCTAAGGCACGCATTTTAACTCTCTTCTGGCCGGAGTCTAAGGAAGAAGTGAGAGTACTAGTAGTCTTAGTTGTTCTTTCATTCGCTTAACCTTCTTTTTTGCTTTTCTATTTTTTTTTTTTTTTTTTACATTTTATGTATTTTTTGACAGAGAGAGAGAGAGACAGCGAGAGAGGGAACACAAGCAGGGGGACGGGGAGAGGGAGAAGCAGGCTGCCCTTGGAGCAGGGAGCCCAATGCAGGCCTCGATCCCAGGGCCCCTGGATCATGACCTGAGCCGAAGGCAGACGCTTAACGACTGAGCCACCCAGGTGCCCCAGACTCATCTTAAATCCTGATGACTTAAATTTTCCTAAAGATTTCCTGAATGCAATGTGGTAAACGTCATGAAACCAAGAAATGTCAAAAATATGGAGGGATTGATGATACGTGTCTCCAGGTTCTGAATGGAATGTCGACCTTCTAAGGTGGACTGCTGCCAGTTAGCTCAGATGAGCTAGGCTCAAATAATACTAGCTCTAGTCTCAGGGACACTTCTCCTAGTCCTATTAATGGTTTTTTTTTTTTTTTTGAAATTTATTTTACATGCATCCACTTATTTAATGTTTACAACAATTCTAAGATTTAGACAGTATTTTTATCCACATTTTAGAGATGAATAAACTGATACTGAGCTAGAATAACTGGCCAAAGATAATATAGCTGGAAAACGGGGGCACAGGAATTTAGATTCTGGAGAGGTCGTTTGACATCGAGTCAAGTCCTTTTTTCTCAATGATGCCAGTTCTTTTCAACCCGTTTCAAAGGGCACTGGAAATCTATGGTGCCTCAAGAGCCCCTGAGCAAAAAGAGGAGGGAGGGGAAGAAAGGCCCCTCGCTCTGGCTTCAACCAGAGCACCTCTACTACCCATAGTTATATATATTATGTTTATATATTTATATAGTGTAAGTATCCAATTATATGTATAAATACATTTATATGTATGATGTTTTCTCTATCTATCTATACAGAGATAGATAGATATTTAGCACCCATTTAGAATTTTGTTAGAAAAAATTCCCAAACACGGTAGCATACCATGATGAGTTCTAATGCCGTTATGATCTACACTAGAAACTTCTTGAAATCAGAGGTCTCATCTTATCCTTTCTTTGGTCTCACAACAGTGTGGAACCTCCCTTGACCTGTGAGCCAGCCTTCGGAAGAAGGAGCAGATGGAAATCATTGCCCTGGCGATGCTCTGGGCTCCAGAACAGCGCTGTCTAAGCATCTCCCATGACCCCTGGCAACCTTGCTGTCTGCTTCACACTAAAGCCAATTAAATTATTCACAGTACCTGCAGCCTTCTCGCTGTTATCAAGACTCATTGAGTTCTCTCCCAAGAGGGAAGTGATGTCTTCTCCAAATATCCTGAGGCAATTTTCAATGAGAAATTGTACAAGAGAAATCTGTAACACAAAAAGATAAAAATGGGGTGCTCTTTTTCATAGGGCATAGTTATAAAACACATTTTGTGTATCGACCTTGGACCTAAGAAAAAATGTGAAAGACTTCCCAGAAAAATTCAGAGTTGATAAAAATACACAGAAACCAGGGGCGCCTGGGTGGCTCAGTCGGTTAAGCATCTGCCTTCAGCTCAGGTCATGATCCCAGGGTCCTGGGATCCAGCCCTACATCGGGCTCCCTGCTCCGCGGGAAGCCTGCTGCTCCCTCTCCTAAACCCTCTGCTTGTGTTCCCTCTCTCGCTG